CCCTTCCAGCCCAAATGATTCATTGATTCCACTGTGTTGAGTGTAACCAGATTCGGCACTGGAAAGGCTAGATCGTGTGCACTAGTAGGCAGAGGAATAAGCAACTACAGAACCTGCACGAGTGTCTTACACATCAGATGCCAGCAAAGGGAAGAGGTGTTCCACTTGAGCAGAGGGTCTTTCAGTGCTGCCTCTTAATGTGTCTGCTTGGGATAAATGAAGTATTTTGAGTGGAAGCTAAATGGTCTAAGTCACATTCATTAAATGTTCTAAATTAAACCTAGCTGTGCTTTTGTCTTTATGAAAAGCTTCCACTTCGGGAGAAAAAGACAACTAACTTTTAAAGAAAATTCTTGCTACTCATACTTCTGAAGCACATGTATAAATTTAAACAACTCTTTTAGTACTAACCTTTATAGTTGATGTCCAGTGCCTTCCTACTTGAACCTTTGACAGGTAATGAAGTTAAAACTCTCTATCTATAGGTGTTAGAGTTCTTATTTCTAGACAACTTCTGGCACATCAGTGACTTAAGATTCAAGTTTTTATTGGAATACTTTCTTTTTTATACTTGACACCCTCCAGGTGCTGGTCAGCTTAGTGTTACTTCTAGGAAGAGAGAACAATAAATATGCAAATGCAAAATGGAGAATAACTAGCTTCACAACAGCAATCAAAGATGTGGAGGTTAATAGCAAGGTTAGTGCATCTTGCTGACATTACAAGTTACTTTTTGAAACCTGTGTGGCCAAGCCACAAACTGCACGCTTTACAGCTTCAAGGAATCCAAGGGAAGAGGGCACTTCAGGAGTAGCTCATAGGCAGGATGTAGCAATGGATTTCCTTGGGAGAGCCCGTGCCCGCTTTCATGTAGGTCCATGGGCCAGGTGACCACACTGAGTAAGTGACACTGTTTCAGAGCCTTTGTGATTCCTTTCTTCTAGTCGTAATTTCAGATTATCTAGGAGTCTTTGCAAGTGTAACTAAGCTGTTGATATGTGAGGGAGTGTAGCCCTGTAAGCAAAGAATTGTTTCAGAAACCGGGGGAAGTGGCTGTTTGGACCGTCTTGTTATCCTTCCTCTGGAAAAGAGAGGGCTGTGAGTTTCAAGTAGGAGCAAAGAGTCTTCCAACAGAAGAAAGCTGGTAATAAGGAAGAGAATATTTTTTTTCCTCTCTATGTAGATAATCAGGGGAGGAGGGTGGCAAGTGGATTAATTAGCAGCCTTTGCTAAGTTTTAAGAAAGTTTTCCAAGTTCTAAGAAAGTTATTAAAGAAGAAAAAAATGTTTAAATAGTAGATTGCCAAAGCCTGGGATCAAGTCACCCAGGGATTTGTGTAATCTGCTATCAAGGCTTACAAAGGTCATCCATGCCAGATCTTAATGCAGAGTGTACCAAGTCCTGCATTAGTGCCATGAGTGGGAATAGATCGTCTCTTGAGATCCCTTTTGACTCCAAATCTCTTGATTCTGTGCAGTGGTACAGCAGCATCCTTAGCTGGTTCAAGTTGCAGGAGCCTTTGGAGCACAATGGGGTGTGGTTTATGTAGTACTTGGAATATTATAATGTCTCTGAATTATTATTTTTTTTTCTTCCCCTTTGATAGGGATGAAGTGCGAGCTCCAATTCCTCAAAAACAGGAAATTTTAGTAGAGCCTGAGCCCTTGTTTGGAGGTAGGCTTGTGTTCTTATTTTGGTTTTTTGTTTTCTTTACCTTGAGATGAGCTAAGTGACGAAAGAAAAACAGAACTTGCTGAATGTGAAGAAAGCATTGTATGTATTTTTATTCTTGCGTTTTTTTCCCTGCTGCAACTCTGCAGCCATGTAACATGATTACATACTTGGAACTAACACCAGTGTTACTGAAAACCTCGCACATTAGAGATGCTGCATTCCCAGTGGTACTAATTTGCCAACTCCTGTTTCATGAGACTTTGTGAGACAGCAGCCAGTTAGCTATCATAAGTATACATCTGCGTTCTGGGGGTTTAGAACCATGTGATACTGCTGTGAAAGTGTTCAAGGTGGTGGGATAAAAGATTTAACCTTGACTGATGAGTGAAAATGAAGAGCACAAATGCATGCTTCTTGGGGAAGGGCTGAACTGTATGATTACTCATTTTCTCCATGTCTCATTTAGGAATTTAATTTGTTCTTTGAGCTGCACCATGCAGCTAGTTGTCTTGTTTGTTTTCTGAAGCTGTTTATCACTTTTGCTTTGGAAACTTTTTTTTGCCGTAAGAAAACAGGTGATGGAAATGCTATTTTCTTTTGAGTGCTTGTCTAAAACACTGTTTAGTACTCATGTAATACACTAATGCTCTGTATCTCAAAACCTCGACCTCAAATCTCTGCTGTAGCGGTTCTTTTACAGCAGAAGAGGGGTGGAACTTCTGTAGCAGAACTGGATTACCTGGTGCCTTATCCTCTCCTTTTATATAGTGTCCATGTCTGTATGGAGATCTAAGGCTCTCTCTTCTTATGCTTACTCCTCTAGCCTTGTGAGGCTGTGGCTTTCTCATGTTGACCAGACCGTTCCTGGCTGGCTGCATGGCTTTTGCCATGTCGAGTGGATTGAGAGTCTTGCCCTTTTTATCAAGGAAGGGCATGCAAGTGCTCATCTTTAAAGTGGTCTCATTCCCATAGGAACTGCTCGTTGTTTAGTTCCTGTGCTAGAAAGGAGAGGGAGGCCAAACTTCAGGTTTACCCTGGAACTGGTTTTCTCGTGATCCTTTTTTTCAACATCGGGGAGGTCTCTAGCCAGGATGCACAAGCTGAGAGGTGGTTCCAGAGGAAGATGCCCTGCTGAGGGCTCTCTGAAGACAGTGCACTTGTTCCTATGGCCCAACAGAATTTTTGACAAAGGTCTGTAGAATCCTATGAATTCAGGAATGTAAGAAGTGCAGGATTAAGATCTGCTGACCTGAATGCTTGGTCCTGTTCTACCCACTTGTCACACGCTGATCTCGGACGCCCTGTCACTGACTACCCAACTGATCTGTGGATCGGCGATAGCCTCCTGACACTGTCTGGTCCGCCAGTGCTAATATGCTCACTAATGCCGCTTCTGTTTATAACATGAAGAAGCCTGGCAAGCTAGCTGAAACTGGAGAGGTGCTGCACTTGGTCTTTTCAGCTCTCACCTCAAAGCAGGAGACGTTCCGGTTTCTGTTTTTAACAGTGTCATATTGAGGTGGTTGTGTGAGCTTAAGTTTTTGTTCCAGGTGAAGAGATGACCCTGTCTATTTGTGCTCTGCCAGATACAGGGATCCCATTCTGCAGTACAAAGGATATCAGGAAAACATCTACCTGGACTGCCATGAACATCTTCACCAGCGCTGCCAGGCTGTAGCTAAGCCTGGCAAGGGAAATGCTGCTTTTGCTGAAGGGGTCCTTCAGTTGCTATTCTTAGCTGCAGTTTAAGTTGCTCTGAAGTTGGCTTTAGTGGGTTGTGTTTGTGCCTAAGCATTTGGAGGTGAAAGAGATGTTACTTACAGGAGTTAGGCAGTATTTACAAACGTGTTCCTCATTCAGGCTTACTTTCTTTTTCCATGATAGTCTGTATGGGATACACGGATTCTTTCTCTCATACTCTGTATGAGAAGAATGGAAGCAACAAGAACTGTGTGCCATTCTCTGTGCCCTTGGTGTGGCCCAGGGTGAAAGGTGCAGCAAGCACTGTGGGTGCAAACCCAGAAGGGTCTCTAAAATCAACTTTTGGAGATATTCGCTTTGTGACCTGTGCGTAGGTCATGCTTTCCCACAGTAAGTGGATTTTTCTTACTAGAGGTTTCCAGTGGATATATGTTGTATTTATGTTACTTTGTTTAATTTATTATTTATTATGTCTTGTAACAATAAGACTTTGAAAGTTCTATCTTAAATTTTTTGTCCTTTCAGTTCATAGTAATGTACGTGAATAGTTGGAATAAGATTTGGCTGGCAGTTCTGGTTTGCATTCCAAGTTCAGTGGCTGTGCTGTACCATAGGATTTCAGTGGTACTTTTAGGTACTGTTCTGGTTATCTGTCTGGGCCGCTGTCTCTGTCCAGCTGCAAATAATCTATTCTGAAGGTTTCTCTGCAGATAGTGATACTGGATCCTGTGGAGCAGTGTGACTGTTGCCAGTCCAGCCAAGAAGTTGGGACAGGAACTGGATAAAAGATTAGAAAAGAATAGAAATGCGTTGTGGAAAAAATGAATGTGTCTCCTAATAAAGAAACTCCCACAGGGTTTAATCTTTTGAAGGTTTTCATCTGCTTGAAAGCCTTTGGTAAAAATCTTCACTGGAATTGTGATGTGATGATGCTGTGACAGCACTGCCACTACATACTGATGGGCCTTGGTGAGCCCATCAGAAAGGGCTACATTTAAACTTTTGTGTAATGTTGATAGATGTTTTGTTTCTGGGGTAACGTTTGCTGGAGGGAGGATGTGTTAGGAAATGGGTCTTACAAACTACCTATTTCCATCCTCCTTCAGCCCTTCCTAATGGCCTTACTCCCACATCACTCATGCTTTGCATTCCCATTCTGTTTTCCCATACATGTGATGGAAAGTACTAATATGTAATTATTTTGATAGTATATTTTTGAAATAATTCTTGAAATTTTTTTTTTTTTAAGCTCCTAAAAGACGCAGACCTGCACGCTCGATATTTGACGGCTTTCGGGATTTTCAGACAGAAACCAGTAAGTGTCTACAGATCAGTAAGGTAGACATTCTGTTTGTTTTGTTTTTAACGCAAGTAAGATTGAAAAATAGTTTCCGTTGTAGGCTAGGACAGCTTGCAGTTGTTGAATGGTTTTTAAATTGCCTACTGTATAGCAGAAGGGTTTTTTTTTAAATAACGTTATTAGGCTGTTCATTGTTGTAGTGTCAGTACAGTTTGCTGCTGGTATGTCCCTTCCACGTTTGTGGTACAGTTATGGTTGTTAGTTTATTGTTCTGGGGTGGCTGAAAGGAGAGTACTGAGTAATGGACACGCAAAGCAGGTAGTGAGGATACTGGTCCAAACGCGTGCCTGTTTTGCATAAGTAAAACCTCCAGACGGTATATTCTGTCTGCTTTGGTATGGCAAATATTTTCTTGATAACTCTCAAAAAAACCCTTTTTCTGCTCTAGAGGGAATTGAAATGCGGGAAGAATCTAACACCCACGTAGAAATTAAGTTCATCCACTGAATTTTTCTTGGCTAGCCAGTGGTCGTTCTGGCACTTGAATTAGATTTGAGTAGCCCAGAGACCTCTTCCTTGGCTGCACACAAGGTTCTCATGAATTTAATTGCTGTTTGCCACCGTCTGTCTGTTCGCATGCAGAATCTCCAAATGACAAAACATTGGCTGTTATTTAAGCCTTTAAGTTTCGTAGAATATCATTCTTTGGCAGCAGAACACCAGGTATTTCACAGCTGAGTTAGAGCTGCTGTGCAGTTGTTATCGCTGATGTTGCTGGACTATTCAACAGGTCTAACCATGGACCAGGTTCCCACGTGGTCAGGTGCTGTTGGATGCTGAACTGAAAATAAATATTCGTAATTAATTTCTTTCCCCTGACAGGTTTGATCAGGGTTTTCCACTAGTAATGAACTCGTCAAGCACTAAAGTCACTGGCAGCTGTGTAAATGAAAATACACGATTTACAGACTCATCATACCCTTAATTTTTTTTCTCATCATCTCTACTCTGTTATAAGGCATTTAGAGATGCACAATATGTAAAATCGTTGTGAGGGCTTATGATGAAACTTTACCATGCTTTTTGGTAAAACTTCGTAGGTGAATATCACTATCTAGCTGTCTCTGAAAATGCAGCGCTGGCCATGAAAGTCCAGATTATTTCCTGGCTCCTAGGCCTGCTCCACAGGGATGCTTTTTTCCCTGTGGGGATCCAGTGTCTGCTCAAAAATGGTTTGTCCACTATGGCACATTGACAGCTCCTTTCACTACTGGAAGGTTTTTGGTCGTGGGATAGTTATTGCCCGTTTCAACTGACTTGGTTCCATAAAATACATTGTATCACTGCATTTTTGGGTGAGCAATTGCCATGATTTACCTTTATTGTATATGGTCATGTCTACGTAGGAAATAGGTTCTGCATTATCTTGAATGGAATTGGTACCACTAAAAGAAATGTGCTCAAATAGGGATAAACGAGGCTGAAAACCTGTTCACCTGCAAGAGACAGTGGTATCTAGAGCCGATTGTGGGAAGAGTAGATATTTAATATAAACATCCACAGATATTTCTCTGTGTAAACTAAGTCTGTTTGAGTTTGGTGGGTTTTTTTTTTTCCTTTTCTGTAGATTGCCTTACAGTCAAGAAATAGAAACACTGAAATAGAAATACTGCAAGTAGAAGTTATGATGCTACAATCTGGCTCAGTTTACCCTTTTAAAAGCATCACTGGGGACAAGTCATGGCTTTTTTTGTGCTCATTTGTTTTCAGATACTGGCATATGACCCCCCTCTGCTGATACTCAATTTATTAAGATGTTTTTTTAAAGGTGAAATAGATTCCCAGTGCTTGAGAAAGCTAGCTAGGGCAAGCGGGGTTCTTACCTTACATAGCCGCTAATCTTGTTCCATGTGGTCTAACCTTGTGACTCTAGTGCTGAAGTTTTGTGTATGAGCATATAGCCAATAATAAATCCATCTTGTGAGTGTTTTGTCTAATTTGGCTTCCTTTTCTCTTGGGGCTGTGCAGTTCGACAGGAACAGGAGCTACGAAATGGAGGGGCAGTAGATAAGAAACTCACTACTTTAGCAGACCTCTTCAGACCTCCCATTGATCTGATGCACAAAGGCAGCTTTGAAACGGTAAGTTTTGAAAATTTGGTGCAGTTCCTTATGTGATGACTGCGTACAGTGTGGAAGCCTTGTGTTAGGCTGGTGCCATGTATGGATCCATTGTCGGATGGTCAGAAAGTTACAAAAGACCGTATAGCGATAAGTATTTGATGGACCGCCTATGGAAATGTTGATGACTTATCAAAGGAGTTAACTAATGATGGTAGACCACACTGATAATGTTTAAATGTCAGTGTGGCAAATAACACTTTGTGAAAGTCTTTTGTGCACAAAGGAGGCTGGTCAAAATGGAAAAATTGCATCCTTGGAAGTATCTCTTTAGAGTACGATACAGAAGAAGCTGAAGTAAGATTGCTGTTGATAACCAAGCAAGTACTTTGCAAGAAGCTCAGGCAGAATTATGTTAACACAGCTAAGTGGTTTCTGATACCTGAGCTAGTAAAAGTATTTGAGTGTGGCTTTGCCATGAAGGCACAACTTTATCTTCAGTAGAGGTCTTGCTCTTGTATAAAATTGCATCTGGTAGTGATGGAAGAAGTATCCAAGAGATTGTTTGTCTGAGAATGGGACTGTTAGCTTTAAATAATTTCAGGTATCACCTTTCCTGTCTGTGTAGGCATGTGTGGATCTAGTCATAAGTTGTTATGATACAGATTGGTGATTTAACTAATGATTAGAGATGAGTATATATTTTTATTTTTCAAGTTTATAGTTTCCAGATTTCTTCAGAAGTTCCAGTTACCACTGAACTTCTACTGGTCATCTTTAAGTAGCTGAGTTTTATTATTATTATTATATGATAATTTCATGAGAATGCAAACTAATGATCAAATGGTGCGATACAGGTGCTGCAAACAGTGCTGGAGATCTCACTGTGTGAGCTGAACAAAAATATTATTTACATCCTTTTCACATTTACCTCTACTGCCATGCACAAATACTAGAGCACTGCTGGAGAATTTTTGGAGAAATGCTGTGTGCCTTTATTGATTCTCCAGCTCTCATCCTGTTGGCCTCACCTCTCTTCTTAGGCTTCTCAAATCACCAGGGATCAGTTGACTTGTCACTAATTCCTGCATTCTGACAGTGCCCTCTGTATGTTTAATCTTCTAACAAAATTCCAGATTTTGAAAGGATGCTGACAGAAAATAGCTGTGTCTGCCTCAGCAAGTAATTTGGTGCAACAGAAGCAGATGAGCAGGCTGAAGTAGTTGGTGCTGAAGCCTCCCTGCCTTCTGGTTCAGGGTTTACTTCAAACAAGGTTGTGTCTGCCAACTGATGATACCTACTGGGTCTGTGGTTCAGAGCTGTTTGTGAACCCAGCGAATGTACAGTTAAAGGCAACAGTAAAGGGAATTCACGTGAAAAGAGCCAGTGCTGCTCCAGACTGGAACATATACACCGTAGGCGAGTGCCCTCTGACCTCTGCTGTGGAATTTTGAGATGTGTGCTAGTCTTCTCTCCTGTCTTGCTGAAAACATATCAGGACTTCAACAGTGTTGATTGTGACATCCACCACAGTCAAAAGTAATTTCAGAGGATGAAATAACTGATAGATTTGATTGTCCTAAAGTCTCTGCATGCTTACTCAGTCTTGTAAATTAAAAAAAAAAAGAGAGAGGGGTGTATATACACACCTTGTCCTGTTCTTTGCAGTAACTCAGATTTAAAGACATGTACATTTCTGGTCTTGGTATTTACCTTTTTGTGTTCCTGTACAGTTCCTTGTCCCATGGGATACCCTTCATTTCAAAGTGATGCTCCTCAACTTCATGGCAATAAAAAAATCTTCAGCTTCTCAATTTGTTGACCATTACCCCTTCCATTTTACCTTTTATGACTGTAGACTATTGTGCTGCTTCAGCCTGGGACAATGTTAGGTCTCCTGTGAATCCAGTAACCGGAGTCTCTCAAAATTCATCTCTAGCAAGCTGCCGTTAGCTTCTTCCATCTTTGTCCGCTTAGATAAACGTGTATAATCTATATAATAAATCAGAAGTGTTTATCCCATTCCAAAGTACCAAAGACTAAATACTGTCATTTTGATGCTCTTGTAGTTTAGTGTTAATCTAAGTAGGCTTTTATTATTATTATTGGTGTGTGGTGGGTTCTGACCTCTGGAGGGGTGTGCAAGAACATTCAGCCAGTGTTGTGCCATGTACATTTATCACAGAATCCTTTAAAATTTATGACTTTATTCAAACTTAGCAAGAGTGGTGGCATCTGATCTTGCTAAGGTTTTCATGTGTCTTTGTTGCTCATCTTTTGTTGCTCCTCCTCTTTGGGTACTCTAAGGTTCATTTTGATAGTAAGTAGATTTAGTTATCTTTGGTTTTCCCCGAGAAACTTCATTTTTCTTCAATTACAGAGAAACTTTGTTATCAGTAAGGTGTAAAAAGTTGCCATTTCATTTTAACTTGGTGATACTCGCTTTTAAGAGTAAGTGAGAATTAACTTTCATTGAAGAAAAATTTTCAAGTGTTGAATGACATTGATTTTTTTTTTTTAAACTTCCTATCTGTGAAAAAGCAGTGTGCTTTACCTACAGAACAACTTACGATCACTATCCTTGCAAAGTTAAATGTATGATTAACTAAATTACACCACAGAAATGTGGTGAAAAAGATTTGATCCAGAAAATCTGTAAAAGACTTCCTTTTAATCCTGCAGGCTTTTTGAACATGAGCCACTAGATGTTATTTACCTAGTGACTGGTGGAATGGGGCTATGTAAGCCAGAGGCAAACAACTGATGGGCCAGCAAGGTGGCAAGATGTTGACCTAAACTGCCTTTATTTTTTTTCTTTTCCTTCTAGAAAATTTCAGAGGAACTTTCAGAGCTTAAATACGCAGTGTCACTAAAAAGTCTGTATTTGAGTAGCATTGCGTGGTTATACGATTAGGCGACTGTCAGTTAAGATTGCACAAGGGATTTGTAACTGTCGTTTCCCGACTGTAATATTGAGCTTTAATGTGTATTAAGCTTCAGAGTTATCTCCTTAATGTAGAATCTACTAGGAATAAATCACTAGAGTATAATAAATAAATTGCACACCAGACATGCTTTGTAAAGAACAGCATGGTTTTGTTCTGTTTTCAAAGACTGCTTTCAAGAATTGCAGGTGTTCATCTCTTTATGCATATGATGTGAGGGATGATTTAATTTGGGAGGGGTACACACCAAGTTGACTTAGTTTACATTTCTTCTTTCGTGAGGAGATAGTTCTGGCATGTGCAATTCTGTGCTTAACAGTCATTAGGATTTCGGTACTTCTGTGGAGCGACAGAGTTGCAGAGTTTCAAGTCTGTCTATATGAAGTTTCCTCATTTTACAAGTTAAGCCTTTTCTAGCTGCTCCCTGCTTTACAGCTGACGCTGAATTGTTCTTTTTTTTCCTTTGTACATAACAAGCGGCAATAGTTTGGAAGCTAATCTAGTCATGACACTCAAATGGTGCATTATGTTTGCATAAGGTTCTTCTAGACTGGCCATTTGCATAAGCATATCCTGCAGATGCACCTTTGGCACAGGAATGGCTGGTTGATGAAAGAATGTGTGCCCTGGCCCAGGCAAGAAGCCTAATTGTAGGACAAATAGGATATTTCTTGTTAAATAATCTCATGCTCTGACTTTCTGTCATCTGTTCTCTTCCCAAGTGAATCATGCTTGATTAGCAGATGTCCAGAAGGTCACAAGATGCTGGCTCCACTTCCTTTTTTCTCTCTGCTGACTTAAAGGAACAGTGTGTTTCAAGAAAGCTGAGCAAGGAAGAACCACCACAACATTTATAAACCATCCATGGTTCAGAAAAGGCGAATGAGAGGAAAACATGTTACTTTTAGTAGTGCAAGAGCTAGAGGTTATCCAGTGAGATCCAGTATTGAGTGTAAACCAAGACTTCTTTCACAAATTTTCTAACTAGGCTGCTGATTTGTTGCTCTGTGTTGTCGTAGCGATGAAAACTGTGAATGGGTAGAAAGCGTAAAGGTAAACTTAGAATGACTTGGTATGGTTTTTGGTTTTGTATCTGGCCTGTTGTATCTGAGATCTGTCTTTGAACGTTCCTTCTTCCGATTGCTGAAAGCTTGAACAGAGACGCTTGCAAAGGGTGGTTGTTCTGTACTTGCCCTGTCTGTGTGCTGTTAAGTGCCTGGCGCTGCCCTTTATACCTCGAAGGAGGAGGAGAAATGGGAGGCAGCTGATTTTGGAAACAGTGGATCTAAAGCCATCAGACATAGCTTTTGGGATGTGCAAGGCAGCTCTTGAGCCTTCCCTTGTTCTTTTGTCACTTACCAAAATGACCCACCAATATAATCTCCAAACCCATGGCATTTCTTCCCCCACACTTTTCTCTTTCCGCTCACCTCCTCCCCCTCAGAAAAAAAAACAGTAGCTGTGTAAGGGCAGAGTTGTGCGTGTGTGAGATGGTAGCAATTTAACTGTGTCCTTTTAAATGTTAAATGTGAAACCTGTTGTTTTAGAAGGAAATTAAAAGTAGTTTCAAAGGCTGTACCTGCTCTACAGGTGAAAACTCATCTTTGCAAATGTTCTGTGTGGAATTTCCTGCTTGCCTCCTTTCAAGGACTTTAGCTGGACAGAGGAGAGGTAGAGACAGGTTTTCACTAATATCAAAAAATACACAAAGTAAGTGTAGAAGAGTGAGATGCACTTTCCAGCTTTCTAGTTATGTATTTTTGAGTTTGTTCTTTTAATCCAATATGGATTACATTAGAATACAGGACTAAGGCAATCCAATTGACTCAAATAACATGAGGATTTTTGTTCCCTTTAAACTTGGGCAGTGCCTCTAGGCCTCATCTTAAACTGGTTTCCTAGAATTAATTCTCAAAATCCACAGTTAGCTCAGAACAAGTCTTTTAAATAAAAGCATAATGACTAGATTTAAGACTCTTACCAGTTACTTAGGTGTCACCTGCCCCACTTTTATGACCTGGTGACCAAATACTGGATTCTGACACTGTAGTAGTAGTGGTAAGTAGTTAGTGTGAGGTCCCTTGAGAGAACACGCTTCTACATTCATTTTTTTTCCTTTGAGTAAAATAAAACTTGGCTCTGCGGGTCACTGGGCCATGCAGGTTAATTTTGTGGACTGAGATTCTTCAGTTTGTGAAGCTAAGTGTGTGGGGTTCATGTGTCTGTCTATCACACAGTGGATAGGCTGACTATTTGAAAGCACACTGGCTAAAATTAATTTTAAAAGTAAAAGTTTTGGTTTGGGGAATAAAATATTGCCTAAAACGGCAAAATCTTGCATAGCATCCTAATTCCTTGGATTTGCTGTTAAGTGCATTACCAGCAGGATGGTGAACACACTTATACTTTTTTTCTTTTTTAAAAGGCAAGAGAGTTCGTATACTAGTTCCAGTCTT